GCTAAGGCCCGCTTCTGGTGGGGGAAGGCTGATGAAGGGACAAGGCCACAGCAGGAAGGAGCAGCATGCAGCGGCAGAAAGAACTCAAGTCAGATGGACATAGCTTTTCATCCCAGCTCCCCACATAATGGCTTTGCTGCCTTGGGTCACTCTTAACCCCTCACACCTCTGTATCTTCCGATGAACAACGGGAAGAACAATTCCAGTTCTGGAGGAGTAAATGCAGTACTGGAGGGGATGCATGTCACTTCATGTCACACCTCTGCTCAAAACCTGCCAATGACTTCTCATGTCACTCAAAGAACAGGTTCCTACAAGGACTGCCAGAGTCTGGCCTCGTCTGGCCATCTGGCTGCATCGCCATCTTTCTTCTCCCTTCCACACTGCTCCAGCTACACAGTCTCCTTGTTGCTCCTTTACCCCCAGCACATTTCCACCTCTCGGGCTTTGCACACAGCTCCCTCTGTCTAGAATGCACTTCTGCTGGACATCTGTGCAGCTCCCTCCCTCACTCCTTCCTTTTTTGCTCAAATGTCACCTTCTCAGAGAGGACTTCTCTTATCACCCTACTTAAAATGCCTACCCTCAGCACCTCTCCCCTGTTATTTTTTCCGCACAGCACTCCTCATCTAATGTGGTAATAATTTACTAATGTTTTATGTTCATTGTCTGTTAAAGCATAAGCTCCAGGGGGCCTGGTGTTTTGTCTGTTTTGCTTTTTGACTGCTGTATCCCTGCTCCTGACAGTTGGGTACACAGTGAATGTTAGTTTCCCCTTCTCCGCTCTTGGTCTCTCTGTTTTGAAGTCAGACAGGTGAGAGGAGCCGTTCAGGGCTGCATGTTCCCCAGGTTTGCTATGCTCTCTGCAGAACTGAGGGGAAGGCTGAAAGGACGGTGCCCCTAAGAGGGAAGTAGACTCTGGGGAAAGGGGCTGGGGACTGGGTCGAAGAAGGGAGGGATGTGAGCTGCTGGGGCCAGGGGTGCTCAGCATCTCTTCAGTGGCCAGGTTGCCCAGCTCATTTTCCTTCTGCACACCCCTGTTCCATCCCGCAGTCCAGAATCTGACCCAGGAGTTCTCTGTGAAGTGGAAACCTGGGTTCTTAGATTCTAGGCCTTTAGAAAACAGGAACTGTTTATTCAAACTGCTCCCTCCTGTAGGTCTCCCTCCACCCAACCTTACTCACTAAGGATGTCTCTGGGGCCCTGCCCCTGCCCCATGACTTCCTATCTCTCTCCCACTTTCCCTGTCTGACCTGGTCTGCAAAGTTAAGCACAGGTGGTAGTAGTCAAAACGGTCACCAATCATTAGTTGCCTACTATGGGCCCAGCACCATGATAAACACTTTACCTGTGTTTACATGAATTCTCTCATTTAATCCTCACAACAGCTTTATGAGGTAAGTACTGACATTATATCCATTTGATAGATGATGAAACTGAGGCTCAGCAAGGTTAATTAGCATGTCCAAGGTCACACATTTAGTAAGTGGTTGAGGTGGGACTTGAACCCTGGCCTTTCCAGCTTTGTACCAGCCAAGGTCCCCCAAACAGATGGCACACCCAAAGGGGAGTGCTAAAACTGAAAAGAGTTTAGTAAAGGGACAGTATACAGGAGTGTGAGCATGGTTAGGGTGCCAAAGTAGATGGTGATGCCCCACGGACTGACCATGGCAGGAGCTGGTGCTCTCTCTGAGCTATGGGACAGGGTCTACCTGGCAGGAACTGTGTGGTGGAGGAAAGGCAGCCTGCTGACCTGTGACCCAGCAGGGAGGGAGCTGGGGGAATCAATACCATGGCCTCTCTTGCCCCAACCCTCTGATCTCAGAAGGCAAGAGAGTCCTGGCACAGAGCAGGGTAGGAAGGGTGGAGGATGACTGGAGAGGCAAATGGAGAGTATTTAATGCAGGCCCAAAAGGCTGTGCCAGGCCAGGTAGGCCCCTCCCTGGAAAAAAGGGGCCACTTCCAGTGCAGCTCAGGAGACTAAAGATATGGCTGCTCCCTCACTTGGTGTTCAGGGAGAAAGGCATGAAGTGGGCCAGTTATTCTCTTGGGTTCATTTGTTTATTCTGTTTAGTCTGTTTCTGTTGCTTATAACACAATACTTGGAACTGGGTGATTTATAAAGAAAATGAAATTTATTGCTTGCAGTTTTGGAGGCTAGGAAGTCCAAACTCCAGGGAATACATCGGATGAGGGTCTTGGTAGTAGCTTTATAGCAGTGCAGGTCTCACATGGCAGAAAATGGCAGAGCAGAGAGAGACTAACCTCTCATGTGCTCTTTTAAAGCCCTTAGAACCACGTCCCTGACCACTGTTTTTAATCCATTCACTACAGCACAGTCCTACAATCTAATCACCTCTTCAAGGCTGCACCTTCCGATTACCATAATAAGATTTCCCACCCTCTTAACAGTCACAGTGGGGATCAAGCTACTTATACAGAAACCTTGGGGGACAGAATCCATACCAGGTGCCCACCCCCAGCCCTGCCCTGGGTAAACAGAGATTGGCAAGGCTGTTCTGCCTTGTTCCCCCTCCTCATCTTTGCCTCTTCCTTCTTTCAGGTACCAGCTCACTAGTCAATGGCAACCTCCGACTGTACAGCTCTGTGGGTGACCTAAGGCCTGGGCACTATGGCCAAGATCCACTCATCCCCCCACCTCCTCCAGGCCCAGCCCCAGGGCCACCCCAGGACACTTCACAATCTCCAAGGGAGTCCTCACCACCACCTCCACCTTCCACAGCTCCCCCACCACCTCCCCTGCTGCTGGAACCCCCACCTCCACCCCCACCCAGCATGGCCCCACCTCCACCCCCAGTACTGGGGGCCCTATCCCCCCCATCGACACCCACCCCTCCTGACTTCATTCCCCCTGCCCCACCCTTGGCCTTTACAGCCCCCCCACCACTCCATCTGCCAGTGCCAGCACCTCCAGTTCCAGTGTCTCCTCACACAATGGGGACTCGTCTCTTTCCCCCTTGCAGAGTCACCAAATGGAAATCAGAGGTGGCACTGAATGGCAGGCAGCCAGAGACTCCTAGAACCAGCCCCCCCAGGAGCCCTGCCGAGCCAAAGAGGAACTCCCTGGGACCTAACCCAGAGCCCCACCTCACCTTCCCCCGTTCGTTCAAGGTGCCTCCCCCAACCCCAGTCAGAACTTCGTCCATCCCAGTTCAGGAAGTACAAGGGGCACTCCCAGTGGAAGAGGGGGCCACCAAGAAGGCATCCAGTCGACTCCCACTGCCTCCTAGCTTCCACATCCGCCCTGCATCCCAGGTCTACCCAGATAGGGCCCCTGAGCCAGACTGCCCTGGGGAGCTTAGGGCTGTGGCACCAGCTAGCCCGAGGCTCAGCCAGTCCCAGTCCCAGACAAACGAACAAACTGAGACTCCACCCCCAGCCCCTCCCCTGCCCCCTATTGCACCCCCACTCCCTCCCCCGGCACCTCCTCTTCCCCCACCTGCCCCTCCTTTGCCTTCTGCTGAGAAGGCAGCCCCTCCAGCTGCTGGGTTTATGAAAAGCACCAAATCCAGCTCTCCTGCTCTCAAACCCAAACCCAAGCCCCCCAGCCCAGAGGACACAGCCTCTTCAGCACCTGTGGACTGGAGGGATCCCAGCCAGATGGAAAAGCTGCGGAATGAACTGGCAGCCTATCTCTGTGGCTCCAGGAGAGAGGACCGGTTCCTCAGTCATAAGCCAGGCCCATCGGTGGCCTTCCAGGGCAAGGAGGGCAAGAAGGACCCCAGCCTGCCAGAGAAGGAGCCCCCCCTGAACCTGCCAGAGAAGGAGATCCCCCCAGATGTTCCTGAGAAGCGTCCCTGCAGCAGCCTGCCAGAGAAGGAGGCCTCCGCCAGCCTGACCCTCCCTCCTGTGGACTATATCCACCAAGACTCTCCAACTCCCAGTGTCTGGCAGATCCGGAATGAGCTGGAGGCCCGGCTTTCTTCATCAACGGAGAAGGATGTGAGGCCCAGCATAGGCTCTCTGCCTCCCAAACCACGGCTAGAAGGGGAAAGAATCTTTGAAAATGGAGCTGATAATGGCAAATTCTCCAAGCCCATCGCCAAGAATCCACCACTTCTATCCACCACCCCTCTGTCAACCACACCAGTCCAGTCCAAGACCATACCTGGGTCAGCTGCACCACCCAAGGCCACACTTGGGCCAGCCATGCCTGGACTGACCCCACCACCCAAGGCTACTCCTGGGCCACCCATGCCTGGATCAGCCACACCACTCAAGGCCATGCCTGGGCCAGGTGCACCACCCAAGGCCATACCTGGGCCTGCCATACGATCCACAACCACAGCTCTGCCCATCACATCATCCCAGCTGATGATGGGGAATGACCTGGTCCCAGCTGGGCAGTGGGAGAAGCTGGAATGTCAAGCAGTTGCAGTGCCTACCCAGCCAGAGGCAGAAGGGCCCCCCTCGGAGGCCACTAGGCTGCCAACACGGGGAGCCCTCTCCTCTCCAGCTCTCCCACCAAAGATGTCCCGTGGCCGAGAAGAGGTGCGATTTCTCTACAAGCCCCATCGCAGCCAGAACAGTCCCAGTCGAGAGGTTGCGGTGGTGATACCCACCCTGGCCAGAGGAGAGGCTGCAGGGCTAGGGGAGCCTGTAGAAGTGAAGGAGCCCCAGGGGCTGCCAGCCAAACCCCCTGCCTCAGCCCAGTCGGCTGACGAACTCCTCAGGCACCCGGTGACCGGGGAGGTGGTGGAACGGGGCTCCCCGATGGCCCTGCTCCTGGCAGCCAGGCAGAGGGCGCAGAAGGGGAGGTTTGGAGGGGCTGCCCAGGGGCGGTCCTCCCTGCCAGGAAGTCTCCGTGGCCACAGCAGCCAACCCGAGGCCGGCTATGACAGCTTCTTCTACAGCCAGGGCCGGCCCAACTCTTTCACTGTGGTCCCCAAGTTACCCAAGGAGGCTGAGAAGGACTCCTGGCTGACCTCGTCAGCGCAGCCCTGGAGAGACCCAGAGAGCACAGAGCCAAGGCGGCACAACTGTAGTAAGGCGGGGCCCCAAGGCCCTGTGGCCTGGGAAAGACCAGCACCCTCCAACCTCCCTCAGGGCCGCTTGCTGCCCAAATCCTCCTCTTCCCCACCTTCTCCTTCCTACAAGAGAGAGGAGGAGGCGGAGGAGTTCAGCTTTGAGGTCATCCCACCGCCGCCAGAGTTCAGCAATGACCCTGAGCCCCCAGCTGCGGCCCCGGCCCTGCCGTCTCTGGGCCGCCGGGACTCCCCTCCCCGGAACAACTTCTCAGACTTGGGGCAGCCCCCGGACGCGGGCCCCGCGGCGCCCCCCGCTCGCGGCTTCTCGCGCTTTCCCGCGGACGCACGCTACGCCGGCGCCGGGGGCCTGGAGCGCTTCTC